TTTACATATAATATACATTTTATTATGAATAAATCACTTTGCTGCTGTTGGCTAACTAAGATATCATCTTGGTAATTCATTATCATATTTATGTCATTGTCGTGTGTGAGTTTTTTACGATCATTTTTTATAGATACCTTTTTACTCTTTGTGCACTTAAACACAACTGATCCACGTTAAATTACTTATATCTTTACGAATAAATCATTATTAACAGTGAACAGTCTAAGAGATGATCATAAATTATAGTTGATGAAGTAGTCAGCCCTTTATATAAAAAAAGGTCTTGTTCCTTATCGGTCTTAAGTCTTAACTGACGCATATTTGGACATTTTAAGACTTTCGTTGAAATAAACATACAAAAATATGCGCTTCAAAGAAGAAAAAAACGTGTAAACGGTCCTTTAATTGTGATTTTCAAAAATTTGCATGACAACAAAAAAGGGGTCCTGTGACCTTTTTTATGATGAATTGAAGGCCGATTATGGACGCACGAAATTTATATAAAGTGTAATATTCATTGACTTCCTTGACAAAATCTCAGAAGAAAAGACAAATTTGGGATGGGGATGCAAGGGGTAATGCTTTCTTAAAGGGGAAAAAGGGGGGGGGGGGTGTAGTTTTATTATATATATATGTCACATTTTTACAGTCCTATTCTGTAAAACAACTACACAATTAAAATATAGGAAATTTCTTGTGCACTTCTTCATGTACATCTCCTTTTGAAATAAACATAGGTCTTCATATTACGTCATAAAAAATCATGGCATGAATAAATCACATGAAGTCAATTATTGTGTTGGATGGTAGCGAGATTACCAGCATATATGTATATAACTTATACCAAGGAGGTTATATTGTTTAAACCATGGAAGTACTATAGTACTTCAACGCTTCTGTCATCACAAATTAAGTGCACATCTGTTCATACCTTTTAAATAAGACATCTTACTCGCATAGAAACTGTCATCACAAATAAGTGTTCCTCTACTCGTATCTTTTAAATAAGAACTATTGCTCGCATAGAAATGAATCTTTATAGGACAGTGTACTATTTATTGTAAATTTTATCGGTCCCTTTTGTTTCTTTTGACGACAGAACAACGCCTTACACTCGAAGATATCATCGTATTCCAGATATGATCAAAATTTGTGTTCTAATCTTCTAAAAAGTTCAATACATAATATAAAGTCATTGATATTGAATTGTGTTGTAAAAGACATGACATCAGTGTCAGAAAGGGAGAATGAATTCCTTGTTCTCGGTAGGGTGCATTAATATCATCTGTAATGTTATCATTATGTCATATTATTTCTGTTCCTTTTATTGCAGTAATGTTACGTAATATACAAATAAGCAAAGTCATCCTTTTATGAAAATTGACAGTGCATTTTTTAAAACTTCTGTATAGTAGAAACATAAACTTCTTCAAAATTGATATTTGATTATGAATTATAAATGCCATTTGCTATTTTCCTACTTTAATTTGCATTTGATAGAAAGTGGAAATTAACTGATAAAGAAGTGAGGAAAAAAAGATAACACGAAGATACTAAATAAGGACGGTTAAGAAGAGTTTTTTCGTACAAAGTAATTCCAGGTTTTGATTAGACATAGATGTTTTAATACATAATACATATAATGAATCCTTAAAAGAAAATTTCCACATGAAGAACCGACTTTTAAAGTTAAAGGTCCATTAAATTTTATGTAAAATAAATGCATTTTTGAGCTATTTAATCATCCTTTGTATATGAATTTTATATTTCTTTGAACTTGAAGTTCTATGGTAAGCTTACATTGTAATTCTTGAAGAATCATACAAAAAGTTACACACAGTTAGTTTTCAATTCATTTTATCTTTTTGCATTGATCACTATAAACAAATTATTCAAAACAATCCATAATGCTAAGCAGAAAAAAAACGGTAAATTTGTGATATCAATGAAAACCAAAGTATATAACTCTTTAGGTAGAAACTACATAAATTTTAAAAACTTAGCTTGTGGGAGTTCCAGTGAAACCTTACTGAGTCTATAACCTGAAACAAAGTAGACAAGGTATATTATATAAATCAAACAAATATTAAAGCATTATGGCGGATTATTCCAGCAGCGCCTGACATGGTAAAAATTGCGAAGCACAGGGAAATATGGCTGCATTCAATTTGACACACCTTTCCCATAAAAAAACGGTAACAAAGACGACTGTTACTATGTAACTATTGTGTTGATGGAGAGGGTTGAAATCTCGTCAAACTAATTTAACCATGTGCATCTGCCCGACACAATTTAGGAACCTCTTTTGTGGTTGTACTTTTGTTATATCTCGAGTGATTTTGTCTCAAGGGAATATGGTGCTGTTAGTAGGTCTTTGATAGTCTTTGTTGAATTTGTTCACAGCTTGTTTGAACAAGAGGGGATTAGAACTTGACCTATAGTACAACCTATCGTGTTTTCTTTTGAAGACTGTATGTTACCCTGGAAATATTTTTGTTGTCGTTTTTTCAATGTCGTTAGAACTTGCCATTTGTACCAGAAAATGGCGCGCGACTAAATGAATGAAACTAGGAATTTAATTTTTAACAAATAAGTGTCTCTTATTTAATAACGGTATAGGTATATACAGCGGGAGAGTTAAAAAATTAAATGAGAAAAAATCCTTATGGATTTATCATTAGTGAAATATGTGTGTTTCAGTTTAAACCGTGCATTAGAACGAGAACGCTTGATAAAAAATAAGAAATTCGTCAATATTGAGTTTCATGTAGATGATGCCTATTTTTGTATGTAGTGTTATTTTTATTTTAAACTTCTTCATATTAACACAAAAAGGTACAGCATTCATAAAGTGTAAATATATTGATCAGTGATCTTATTTTGCATGTGTACCTTGCAAATTGAATCGTTTTACACAGAATTTATGAGCACCGTCGACAAACCTTCAATCTTCTCATTGACCTGTTTACTACTGAGTCCTGTACAGTGCATACAAATTATAATTTTTACTTCATAACCCTCTAATTCAGCCAAGTGGTGACATTATTCAGTCTATTCTAGTTTTGCTTATCATGTGTATATATTTACACATGAAAAGACTGACAGAATATTCTGTTGTATAATGATAGGTTTAGGAAGAGGTATATTTATAAATGAGTTTATTTCTGTACTGCCAAATTGAATTTTGAGTATGATAAAGAGTTCAAATAGTACTGGTTTAAATCTATACAATAATATAATGTTGTCGAATTCTTAAAGTTTCAGTGCAGAAAAGGGAAAAATAGATTTGAAATCTGCCATTTGAACAATACATTTTGGTAATTGAAACATAATTTGGCGTGATCTCAGTGTGTAGAGACATAAATGTTTCAAGATCAGAGTACAACCTTCAACCCATAAACAAACGACAATAAAAAAAATCCCAACACAAATGGCTAATAATACATATAAAACACCTTAATGATAACAGGTATCAACGAATTGTCACCTCCACGTCATATTATAGGGTCTCATTGGCAAGCATACCTCCTTGTTTTTACATCAAACACTGCTCTTATTATATATTGTATTTTGTTACAAACTGATCGGATATATATATATTTTATTTCACTTAGTGACGTAATAAGTAAAACCAGTTCCCCACGTGCACATTATAATGCTAACTGAAAAATCTGAATTACTAGTTATCCCTCAACTATTATTACGTCGGTATTATACATTGTATTATTGTACTATATTGTTTGTATACGTTGATATAACTGTATCCTTGTCACCCCCCCCCCCCCCCCTGGGGACCTTAACTGGAATTAACACATATTGTATATTGTATTGTAGTGGACTACAATTTTAACCTCCATCTTTTTTTTTAAATAACATATGAACACTACGAAATATCAATACAACTGTTTTGAAATCTAAAAAAAAAGTTTTATATTGTCTAGTATATCTCTAGTCACAATTAGTTTTTATATACTTAATGTTGCGGGGTTAAACATGTTAGAGGGCGCACAACCCTCCATCAACATGGGAGATGTCGGTGGGGAACGTATAAATTCACATTCATACCCGGTCTGATTAATTAAGTTGCCAAGAGGATGTCTGTTTGTCTGTGGGGAACGTATAAATACACAGTCATACCTGGTCTGATTAAGTTGCAAATAGAATGTCTGTTTGTCTGTGGGGAACGTATAATAACACTGTATTGTCCGATCTGTTTAACTTGCCAAGAGAATGTCTGTTTGTCTGTAGGGGAACGTATAATACACAGTCTTGTCCGATCTGTTTAACTTGCCAAGAGAATGTCTGTTTGTCTGTAGGGAACGTATAATAACACAGTCTTGTCCGATCTGTTTAACTTGCCAAGAAAATGTCTGTTTGTCTGTGGGGAACGTATAATAACACTGTCTTGTCCGATCTGTTTAACTTGCCAAGAGAATGTCTGTTTGTCTGTGGGGAACGTATAATAACACTGTCTTGTCCGATCTGTTTAACTTGCCAAGAGAATGTCTGTTTGTCTGTGGGGAACGTATAATAACACAGTCTTGTCCAGTCTGATTAAGTTGCCAAGAGGATGTCTATGTGTCTGTGGGGAACGTATAATAACACAGTCATGTCCGATCTGTTTAGCTTGCCAAATGGATGTATGTGTGGCTGTGTGGAACGTATAATAACACAGTCTTGTCCAGTCTGATTAAGTTGCCAAGAGTATGTCTGTGTGTATGTGGGGAATGTATAAAACCACTGTCTTGTCCGGTCTGTATACAGACATTTATACTAGAATATCCGAGTGTTTTGAGAATGCCAGCGTCTCGGCTCACGTAAAGAACGCTTTAACAAATAGGAGGGTAGAATCACTTTATTGACGCTAATGCCATATTTGCAAACTTTGCAATTAAGTCAATAATAGAAAAATGTAGTTTTTATCGCGAAGACTTTGATTTATTTATTTATTTAGGTATTTTAATTTATATCACAGACGGTATTTCTTTTTATTTCAGTTCTACAGACGAAGAAACTTCGAAAAGTCATAAAACTGCTGAAAAGATACAGGTAAAGAAACTACCTTTTAATCGAATTATTAACATTTCTTTGTTTTTATTAATTTTTTTTCCTTCTTCCTTTCTTTTTCTATCTTTATCTGTTTATAGGCATTTCATCTTTTAATCTGTCTATGATCATGTAAAAACATAATGCAGTTGACATATGTTCTATAGGTATACCGATTTTTGTTTTCGAAATGGAACTCAGATATATCGTTGTAGAAAATCTTTGATGTTTCACACAATTTACATACAAAAACTTACCATTTGATTTTATTTGTTTATTATTCGGTTAGAGCACACATATTATGTCCGTAAATCTTTACGGCAATTTTCCTGTACAATGTTAATATACCGGTTTTAGTAATTTTATCTTACAAATGTAAATCCAGTTATAGATAGTATAAAGCTATGTGATCAATGGACGAGTAACACTTGTCAACGACATCTTGCAAATGTAACAAAAAGCAACGCGCAAACGTCCGATATTTTACTTCCAAATAGAAATAAGAAGATGTGGTATGAGTGCCAATGAGACAACTCTCCATCCAAGTCACAATGTGTAAAAAGTAAACAAATATAGGTCAAAGTATGGCCTTCAACACGGAGCCTTGGCTCACACCGAAAAGCAAGCTATAAAGTGCCCCAAAATGACTAGTGTAAAACAATTAAAACATGAAAACCAACGGTCTAATCTATATAAAAAAACGAGAAACGAAAAACACTTTAGAACCACATCAACAAACGACAACCACTGAAACAGGTTCCTGACTAAGGACAGGTGCAGACAAATGCAGCGGGTTTAAACGTTTTAATAGGCGCCAACCTTCACCCTAACCTGAAATAGTAGTGTAACATTACAACATAAAAAGACAAACTATAAAATATCAATTGAAATTGCTTAACTCAATCAAAAAGACATATTAACAAAAACAAGTAAACATACACTGAACGAATAAATTTGATCTATGACACAATGTCAAAAAGACAACTATAACCGTGGACAAAATGGTGTTAAATAAAAATAACGTACACAGGTAAATTTAAATATAATAATTTTGTTGTTAGGAGTACGGAGATATTTTTTTACAAAATAAATAAATTTGTTGTTCATAGTACGAGAACAGCAGTGAAAATTTATCGTCATACTATATACTTATCTCTTATTAAAAATAGTGAGACGAGATATAACACAAAATTAGTAAACATTGAATAACAAAAACGCATTACAAATTGTGTAACAGGTCAAATTAACACGAAAGTACGATTTGAGAGTACTCGCAGTTACTGAAAGCTAGTTAAAAGCCAAAAACAATTAATAATAAAAAATCATGCATCAGAGACTAAAATCAACTAAACCACATCCCAGGGATTTAGTGTTTAACGCCATAGACAGTCAAAGAAGACAAGACTTGTGCAATGCCAAAATAAGACTTGTGCAATGCCAAAATAAAAGTATCGACAGGCAGTAGGATAGTTTGGATTTAACCTTATAATAAATATGTATAAAGTCATATATAGAAAAAGCAATCTCTATATAGAAAATGAACGTGGATGTGTATTTATACATCCAAAAAACCATTCGAAAAGAATACAAATTTAGTCATGTTTTAATTTGTTGATGACAAAAACGATACTTGTGCCAATGTAAACAATATTCAAAGATCTTATTACAACATTAATTAGATAACCTTTACTAATAAGTTTGTTTAAAGGTTCGATGAGTTTACACGTAATGCATGTAATGGTAATGCTTGCAAATGTAATACACCTTAAACATTTGATTTGGTCAGTATGGCATGAAACAAAAACAAAATTGAGAATGGAAATGGGGAATATGTCAAAGAGACAACAACCCGACCAAAGAGCAGACAACAGCCGAAGGTCACCAATGGGTCTTCAACGCAGCGAGAAAATCCCGCACCCGGAGGTGGTCCTCAGCTGGCCCTTAAATAAAATTGTGTACTAGCTCAGTGAAAATGGACGTCATACTAAACTCTAAAACATATAAATGAACTAAACTTAAAAAACATACAAGACTAACAAAGGCCATAGGTTCCTGACTTGGGACAGGCGCAAAAATGCGGCGGGGTTAATAGATATAAGAAGATGTGGTATGAGTGCCAATGAGACAACTCTCCATCCAAGTCAAAATTTATAAAAGTAAACCATTATAGGTCAAAGTACGGCCTTCAACGCGGAGCCTTGGCTCACACCGAACAGCAAGCTATAAAGGACCTAAAAAATTACTAGTGTAAAACCATTCAAACAGTAAAACCAACGGTCTAATCTATATTAAAAACGAGAAACTAGAAACACTTATGAACCACATCAACAAACGACAACTACTGAACATCAGATTCCTGACTCAGGACAGGTGCAAACAAATGCAGCGGGTTTAAACGTTTTAATGGTACCAAACCTTCACCCTTTTTCTGAAATTATAGTGTAACATCACAACATAGAAAGACACACTATAAAATATCAACTGAAATAGCTTAACTCAATCAAAGGACATTTTAACACCAGTGAACATACACTGAACAAATAAATTTGACCTATGATACAATGTAAATACAAAATAAATAAACTAAGGGAAGAATAATAAAAGTAAAATGTTATACCGCTTTGAAATGTTAAACAATTTAAGAAAAACAATATGCTCGAACAAAAATATCAGCCATTTGCAATAACTTTAAACACAGGTAAATGAAAATGTTGTTAGGTATACGTGTACAGTTCAAATAGAGACAGGAAATATTTTTACAAAATAAATAATTTTGATGTTCATAGTACATGTTTTGTGAGATCTCAACCCTCCCCTTTATTTTAAATACCTATTTTAAATAAGCCTAGAAAATAAGTAAACCTCCTTTTCATAAAAAAAATACTTGCTTTAGTAAAAGTCTATCGTGTTACATTAGGAGTTTGACAGTCTGGTCGTTGTAGGTAGGTTTTAAACTAGCTTTATAAGTCTTCTGCGAATATTAGAAACAAAGATGCACAGAAGAAAGTTATTAATTCACAGTAAACTTCAGGAAAACACTATTAATCATATTATACTCATATATCTTTCTTTTATTGGACTTATTTTTCAATTAAAATAAAACATTTATAAAATATGTCAATCAATCACTTCTGGTTATATCAAATTTCCTTTATTGGAAAGAACAAAACACATTTTATATCAATAAATAGATTTTAGGAGCACTATCAATTATTCAATGATTAAATATGAATATGCCAATGAGACAACTATCTAACAGAGTCCAAATGAAGCGGATTTAAGAAACTATATATCATTGAACGGCCTTCCACAATGAGCAAAACCAATACCGTATAGTCAGCTAATGAAAGCTCTGACGTGACAAAATGTGAAAACTAAATTGTGTTATAACTGAAAATGGAGTTATATGGATTTTTATTTTTTTTTATGTATGTATATGTATATTTTAACTGTTTTGGGATTAAAGTGGATTTTCAATAACATGGTTTTATCAGTTATCAGTCACCAGATATTTTTAATTCGTTTAATAAATGTTTTATTTTATTGTACAAATTGAAAAGCGTAGTACGAATGCATTTTTTAATAAGAAAGTTTCATGATTCTTACATGTTATACGGTTACAATGACACGTCCTTATTAATTGCATGCATTCAATTCTTTAAAAAAAATACTGATAATAAAATTTATATCATTTTTAATATTGCAGTCCAAACTTGTTAGGTATTAATAATATATGGTCCATCTCTACGGTATAAAGCTGATATTGTATCAAATTCTGAGTGAATATAAGCAAACATGGTTGTTTAACAAACGGAATAAGCCATTTCATAAGCAGTAATGTCTGTCATGGTGAATATGTGTTTTGGCATTGTTTCTGTGATGCTTTGACATTTATACGACCTTCCTGGAAGATGACATGACTTTATTATTATGGTCATCTTGAATATCCTGTTAGTTTTCTTCTCTGTTGTCTCGTGAGCATTGAATTTCTTATAACTGACTTCTTAATTAATAGTTTGTTCTTTGATATCAGGTAACAGATGTATATTCATGTTTAGAAGCACTTCAATTTTTACTAGATAACATTTTTGTTTGCTATGGAGATTCCGTATATCGTCAAGTTATCGGAATTCCAATGGGATCTAACTGTGCACCACTTATTGCAGACCTGTTTCTATATTGTCACGAGTTACAATTAATGACTTAAATCAGCAAAGACCTATCGAAACAACATCTGATACAAAAATGTAATAACACTTTTAGATATTTGGATGATACATTGGCTCTCAATAATGACGACTTCAGTATGTACACTAAAGAGATTTATCCTGCTGAACTGACTTTAAACAAAGCTAATACTAACAATTAACACTGCCCTATCCTCGATCTTGATATTTATATCTTTAACGGGAAGCTTAATACTAAAATTTACGATAAACGAGATGATTTTTCATTTCCTATTGTTAATTAACAATTTTTAGATGGTGCCGTTCCCTTGGCACCATCTTACGGTGTTTATATATCTCAACTTGTTCGATTCGCTCGTGTATGTAACAACGTATTTTATTTTAACGAAAGAAATCTTAGTATTTTGAAAAATTATTACACCAGGGTTTTATTTTTTTTATTTTATCATCGGTACAAGGACATCATTCGTAAATATAAATCAACTTACAGACATCTTATACGTTCAGGTATTTCACATCCCATCTTTTATGGTAATATTTTATACAAAGCACAAAAATGTCGTCATTCACCTCAAAAGCTAACCAAACATTTAAACACACTTATTCAGAAGGGATACAGTTACGATACTGTTGTCAGGTCATTAAAGATGACATTTTTTGGAATTAATATTGATTTACTTAGAGGGTCTTTGCATCGGAAATAAACACATTTATTCTGAAACCAGTCTTTGGCATGATACGGGTTATGTTCTTCTCGTTTATTTTATGATGGTGTGATACTAAACCCCTAACGGGAGGAATTCTGCTTGATTTTCA